ACAACGTGATCTCCCTGCCATGCCGTGACATGATTTCTCCCCTGGCGTGACATGATGTCGTTCCTGTCATGCCATGGTCATCCCTGGCATGACGTGATTTCACCCCGTTGCATGACGTGACGTTGCCCCTGCCATGCTATGATGTCATCCCAGTCCAGCGCGGCAGCAGCGCCTGCAAAACGAAAATGCCGATCCAGAGCCAGCTCCCGCACTAGCGCCAGCACGGCAGCGGCTCCCGCAACTTGCAACGAAGGACTGGCGCCTTCGAAGACGAAGCAGACGAGGCCTTTGAAATCTGGGGGAGTGTGGCACTGTCATTTGACGAGATGATTCGTGCATTTTACCAGACAGCAGGCATACGCGGATTCAATTTCAAACAAGAACTATATTGAAGGGACCTGGCAAGCGTTTGGAAGACATTTGGTCAAACGAAGACATCAACTCGTTTCACAACGCGTCGTCCAAATATGTCCAAATTTGGTGTGACAAAGGTCTTCACGCGTACTGCCTCCGCCATCTCTGGGTCGCCAGGAGTTCTGGCAACGGCAGGGCCCGCGTTCACGCGTTTCCCAGAACGCGGCAACTGCGACCAGCAGAGCGCTGGCAGTGGCTAAAAGGGCTGGAGAAAGCCATGTGCAATGTCGAAACTTCACACTTGATCTTGTTCGTGGGCGCTGCTGCTTACACGTCCAGCACCCATCACCTGAAGAAGTAAATCGACGAATGGGCACGAATTTGACAGCTGGGTTGACCCGAAGAAGACCATGCGTTTGATCATGATTCTAGCAAGGACTTTGACGTACTGCAGACAATACTTGTTTCTTGACATCTGACCACAAAAGCCAAGCACCAAAAACCCTCGTCCGGCAACCAGAGACAAGCAACGACTGAAGTTGATAATGGAGCAGCCACCTTTGAAGGGATGACAGTTGAATTTATGTTTCTCACGATTTACAACGACAAAGATTGCGTTGCAACTCGCAAGGCCTGTGAGGACAGGCGGAAAGCTTCCATCGGGCTTGCGCAAGAGATAGGTGCCCCAAAACGTGGCGCCCCTCCTCTCCACGACGATGATCTGCACTCTCCCACTCTCACTCACTCACACCCACTCACACTCACACTCACTCTCACCCACTCAGCCACTCACTCCCACTCACTCTCACTATCACTCACACTCACACCCACACACACTCACACTCACACACACTCACACTCACACTCACACTCACACTCACTCACTCACACTCACTCACTCACTCACTCACGACCACCGCCACCGTCACCATGATCCCCACCTTCATCACCACTGGAACCCAATGCGTCTAGATCTCTAGACTTTCTGCTTATAGACCTCGCACACACTGCTTGGGGTCTCTTGCCGGATTCCTTTTTTCAGGGGGAGAGCGGCGTGCTTTTTCAGGAAGCCATATTTGTTTTTAGTGTTTCTTTTTGTTTGTCTTCTACGTTTGTGGTGTGATAGCTTTGGCTTTTAACTTTTGGTGGCGTGTGTAGGCTTTTCGTGGCTTCGGTTGGCTTCTGTTTGCTTTTCGTGGCTACATTCACTGATGTGGGGGATTTATATTAGTTGTATATGGTTTAATGGTAACTCATGGTATATATAGTTACTATAGTTATACCCTGGGAGTCAAAGACTATAAAAAGAATGGTCTTTAGGGGACCTGAAAGGGAACTTCCTTTACTCCAGCCGGTCAAAAAATCGTCTTTGGACTTCTAGGGTATATATATACATATGGTACATACTTATGGTGTATGTATATATATATATAGATAGTTTTTCAGGCCTAGCTGTGGGAAGGAAAGAAGGAAAGAATGAAGGAAAGGAAACAGTGGTGTCGTGAGTAACTTAGCGGGGGTAGATGCCATTCCAATGTAGCACCGCAGGGCAAGATTTAGAGGAGGCACTAGCCAGTCCAATGTAGCATACCTTTTCTGAGCCAGTCCACGTCAAAGTTTTTTGAGCGCAGCAGCCATTTGATTGTAGCACACCGGTAAGTTTTAATAGGCGTCGGCGCTTGCTGCTGGAATCGGCCTTCTCAGAAAGCAGCTGGGAAGGGTTCTCCTTCAAGAACGGGTAGAAACTTCAACTGTCGAACTATCATCTTTATCGTCGTCTTAGACATCGCATTCAGGATAATCTTCTTGATGATTTATCACCGTCACCATCATCATCACCATCATCACCGTCATCGTCATCATCATATGAAGTTGCAAGATGGTTGTCAAGGATCATCACGAGCACCTGCCGCAAAATCTGCACATGGAGGTTCACGAAGTGCTGCGCTTGCCACGAAATCTGCACTTCGAGGTTCACAAAGTGCTGCCGGTGCCACGAAATTTGCTCTTCGAGGCAAAGTGCTGTGCCTGCTGCAACATTTGCATTTCGAGGTTACGAAGTGCTGCGCTTGCCGCAAAACCTGCGCTTCCAGGGCGCTTCTGCAACTGAAGGTGCTGGCTGAAAGCGTTGCGCCTGCCACGGAATCACCATAGGAAAGCGCTACCAGAAAAATAAATCAACGAAGAAAACAACAAAATGTTCCTAAAGAAAATCGTCAGCCTTGTTTTCATAGGTGGGACCTTAGACTTGCGGGGGGTAGACCGTGTTTGATCTATTTGTTGAGCCAACCTTCCAGAGACTCTCACCCTCCAGGCAAGAGTGCCAAAGATTTGGCCAATGAACTGCGGGCGCCGGACTACCTCCTGCAGGCCGGACTACCTAGGTCGAGTTGGCTGCGAAGGTCAGCCACATAAGCACCGTTACCAGTCGCACGCTGTTGCAGGAGAACGGTGGAACGACTTTTGCGGCAGAATAGATTGTGGATAGGAAGGTTCTGAAGGCCACGGAGGGATCTCAACACACTCACTATCCTATTCTCCTGATCATGGATATTCCGATATTTTGGTGTTGTCTCGAGCTGGTCAGGCCATGGGCGGAGCAATAGAGAAGTGCATCTCTATTGCCAGTCCGGACAGCCCCAGCAGCACACTCAGGCTCGGATCTGCGGGCCGGGGTCCGAAGGTCAGGAACCTAACGATGCGAAAAGAACAGGTGGAGCTGTCCCTGAAACATCCAACAGAACCGCTGAAACCCATGCTCTGAACTTGACTCCGAACAATTATATATATCAGGTCAGAACCGCTGAAAATCGAGATGTTGAAACATCGGCTCTTCGCTTTGGTGGCGTTATGGGAGCCAGGCCGCACATTCCGTTTCGGACGCCCCAAGATGCCACAAAAAAATGCAAACTCCGTTGCTTGACATGTCAATAACATGGTGAACACACGCCCCAAGATGCATCAGGTATACTTGCTTCGTCTCAGAGCAGGATTCACGGTGCAGGTGGTTCATCGCACGTGGTTTTAATAGCGAGAGAATGCATTTTGATTGCTCTGTTGCCGTCCATGATCGGAAATTTGATTGAGGGAATGGCAGAATTGGCAACTCATGTTGGATGTGGATTAACACCCCTACCTGGATAGTCAACTAAGATTAGTTATTTTAATAGTAATAGTTACCGTCATATGTATTTATATTATGTATATATGCCTTAATATATGGAAAATTAACTATTAACTCCAAGATGTGGAGAATTGACTCCACGATGTGGGACACCAGTTCTGGCTTCGTGTAGCTGGGCGGCTGGGCCGGCGGAAATCTCTAGACCCGCGAACGTGGATTCGAGATCAAGGCGTCTACCATCTACCCTTGAATCGCACATTGCAGGCGTCTAACGGTGTTTCCCAAGATCTTCATTCGATATCCTTACGTGTTTCTGGCTGAGGTTCGATGTCTTCAGGTCCAGGTCACCTGATAGTCTTGACACTGACCCAAACCGAGACTGGCCTAAATCCTAAGAGCGATGGCCTCCAACCTACTTCCAATGACGGTCTATTATTCTAAAAGCGATGGCCTCCACACTAATAGCCATGGCCTCCCTCCTAAGCTCGTGATTCCCTGGTTTCAGGATGGCACCTTCAATGTCCAGACAATCCTCGTCGTCATCGACATTTACCATCTGAGCTGATCGAAGAAAGCATTGCCTCACCTGATCTACTCATTTGGCTGACTGGCTGAACAGGTCCCCCAATCAAAAAACATTTGAAAAAAAAACACATATGGTCTGAATGTCACTTGAGCTGCAACCGAAACTTTTTAAATGGATGGTGTTCTGGGTATTATATCGTATTTAAATGTATTTAAATCATCTTGTAGAGCAAATATTTTACCAGGTTTTGGCTGTCGCTGCCAGGCCAGATCCGGATGAGTGCAGTGGGGCACTTTAAGTCAGCCGAGGTTGACAAAACCGTTGGGCGAGACGCAATGATTCTCCAATTGGCCAGCGGGCCGTCCGTATGGCTGATCCTTTGACAGTCTTCGATCCAAGCTGCCGGGACCAAACAACCATTTGTTTTCGACAAAACCAGGTCAACTGTTCTGTTGCATGGCCTTTGGAAGGCCAGGCTTGATGTTTTGGAAGACAGAAGTTGTCTTTGGAAGCCTAGGGTTGCAAAAGTGGTCTTTGGAAGGCTAGGGTTGATGTTTTGGGAAGACCAAAGTGGCCAAGATGTTCACTGTCG